ACCAAGAGATGACTCTGGATTTCCAAGGGAAGAAGGAAAAATCGAACTCTGTAAACCACCACAAATTCCCCTTGACTAATGTCAGGCAAAACAACCCAAGAGTGGGATGGAAACCAGGGGAAAAGGAGGCAGTTTTCAACGATAAGTTCAAAAGAATCTCACCCCAGGAGATTCAGTACAGGAGAAATCATAATTTATGCTACAAATGTGGCGAAAAATATGGCCCTGGCCATCAATGTAGCATGAATAAGGTTTATCTGATTGTAACAGAAGAGGATGAATTGGAGCCCCCAGATTTGGATGTATTTGAGATGCCAGAGGAAGAAATCATCACTGAAGAAGTCAGAAGATTGTATCTTCACGCCTTGGATGGGAAGACAAAGAGGAGGACTATCATAGTCAGGGGAAAGATCAAAGGTATATGGGTTAATGTCCTGATTGATACAGGAAGTACGTCCAGTTTTGTTGATCCCAGTATTGTGAGAACTTTGTCCTTGCGTTACCATTCTGTGGAACCTTTTTGTATTAAAATGGCTGATGGGAACACTTCTGTGGGATCATTCATGTGTCCGGAGTTGGGTTGGTATATTCAACAGCATGAATTCGCTTTTGATTTTAAAATCATGAACCTGAGCGGATTGGACATCATTTTGGGAGTGAATTGGATGTCAAACTTCAGCCCTGTGATTTTTTATTATGATCACGACAATATTCAGTTAACAAGAGGAGATAGGCGGTACATTTTATATGGAGGAATTCAAGACCCCTCTATTAATATGATCAAGACCGACGATCTCCGAGATTACTTGGAGCTCAGGAAGAGAGAGTGGTATGGCAGAGCCCACTACATGCAGGAAAGGAATTTCGCCATGACGAATGAGAAGAAGATCAAACTTCCAGATGCATTAGAGACTTTGATCAGCCAGTTTAGAGTAGTTTTCTCAGTTCCAAAGGGATTACCCCCCATTCGAGAAATTGAGCATCGGATTGAACTTAAAGAAGGCGCCTAACCTTTCAAGGTAAAGCCCTACCATTACCCACATGCGCACAAGGAAGAGAATGAGAGGCAGGTTGACAGTATGCTTGAAAGCAAGCTCATCAGGAATAGTAGTAGCCCCTACTCTTCCCCTGTTTTGCTGGTTCCTAAGAAAGAAAATGAATGGCGATTCTGTACAGATTATAGAAGGCTCAACCAGCTTACCATCAAAGACAAGTACCCCATACCCGTCATCGAAGAGCTATTAGATGAACTACACGGGGCCAGTTATTTCTCCAAGCTAGATCTCAGATCCGGGTATTTCCAAATACGGATGAGACACCAAGATATAGAGAAAACGACGTTCCAAACTCACCACGGGCATTACGAATTTTTGGTTATGCCTTTCGGCCTTACAAATGCCCCGGCTACATTCCAATCCCTGATGAACAGTGTATTCAAAGCATTGATCAGAAAGTATGTCCTGGTTTCTTTGATGATATACTCGTGTATAGCGCCACCTGGGAGGAGCACATGGAACACCTCCAAACGGTGTTGAAAATCCTGCATGACTAGTAACTTTATGCCAAGATGAGCAAATGTGTTTTCGGTCAAAGGAGTGTAGAATATTTGGGACATGTTATTTCCGGCCAGGGAGTTAGCATGGATTTAGAAAAAGTTAAATGCATTCAGAATTAGCCACAACCACAGACAGTGAAAGAGCTGTGTGGGTTTTTGGGACTGACGGGTTATTACCGCCGCTTCATACAAAGGTATGGATTAATTAGTAAATCCCTCACTGTTTTGCTGCGGAAAGGTAATTTTTCATGGAATGATGATGCTACAGTTGCTTTTGAAAACCTCAAAAAGGCTGTCATAACAGCGCCTGTTTTAAGCATGCCAGATTTCTCCAAACCTTTTGTTATCAAAACCGATGCTTGTGATTTTGGTATGGGAGCGGTGTTAATGCAGGATAATCATCCCATTGCCTATTTGAGTAAGGCTTTTAGCGCAAAAAATTGTGGCTTGTCCGTGTATGAGAAAGAATTACTAGCTGTAGTAATGGCTATCACAAAATGAAAACTCTATGTTGTGGGAAACCGTTTCATCCTGAAAACAGATCACCAGGCTCTCAAATTCTTGTTAGAGCAAAAGTTAACCACCTCAATGCAACACAAGTGGTTCACGAAATTAATTGGACTGGATTACGAGATACAATACAAAAAGGGAGCGGAGAATAAGGTAGCGGATACACTGTCACGGCTGAACAACCAGCAGGGGAAGGATTATGCTGACCAACAAGAAAATGGCATTGACTGCAATACAATATCCTCAGTACAACCTAAATGGATGGAGAAAGTTGAGAATAGCTATGAAGGAGACGAAGTTGCGCAACAGATCATGGCGGAATATGCAGTCAACCCCACTGAAGGGTCTGAATATCAGGTGATCAATGGAATCTTGAAAAAAGCTGAAAAAATCTACATAGGCCAATCCGGGGATGTGAAGAAAAAAATAATTGAGACCTTGCATTCATCATCACTTGGCAGGAATTCAGGGCAAACTGCAACATTGCTTCGAATTAGGTCCCTATTTTTCTGGCCTAAGCTGAAACAAGAAGTGGAGGAGTTCGTGAGAACATGCAAAGTTTGTCAACGAAGCAAGGGAGAACATGTCAAGTACCCTGGCCTTTTGCAACCCCTGGAGATACCAGAACACGCTTGGCGACATATCTCCATGGATTTCATTGAGAGGCTGCCAATTTCAGAACAAAAAAATGACACTATTCTTGTCATTGTGGACAGGTTTACTAAGTATAGTCATTTCTACGCTCTCGCTCATCCCTTCACTACATCCACCGTCGCAGAGCTATTCCTGCAAGAGGTTTACAAACTACACGGCCTTCCGGAAACGATAGTCAGTGATCGTGATAAAATTTTCACAAGCCATTTATGGGGGGAATTGTTCAAACTGTTGAATGTCCAACTCTGCATGAGCACGGCGTATCACCCACAAAGTGACGGCTAAACCGAGAGGGTAAACCAATGCTTGGAAAGCTATCTGAGATGTTTTACCGGTGTTAAACCTTCCACTTGGTGCAGATGGTTGTCATTAGCTGAATGGTGGTATAACACCACGCACCACAGGAGCGTAAACATGTCTCCCTATGAAGCACTCTATGGAAGCAAACCGATACACCTTCCCTTGGGACCTTACAGTAATGCGATCATACCGGCAGCTGAAAACATGGTGGAACAACGTAACTCAGTGACGAAGATACTCAAGGAGCAACTGGTTAAGGCGCAAAGCCGAATGAAATTCTACGCTGATATGAAAAGGTCAGAACGCATTCTGGAAGTAGGGGATTTGGTATACTTGAAGCTCCAGCTATATCGCCAATTAACTCTAGCCATTCGCAGCTCGTTAAAGCTAATGTATAAATGCTTTGGACCTTATGAAGTTCTTGAGAAGGTCGGAGCAGTGGCGTACAGATTGAAACTTCCTAATGATGCCCGTATACCCCTAGTGTTCCACGTCTCTCTACTCAAGAAACATCAGGGCAACAAACCAGTTAGTTCCACTTCTCCTCAAGATTTCTCTCAGCATGAAGAAAGCTCTTTGTTTCCCAGCAAGATACTGCAAAGGAGGATGATCATCAGGAACCGTTTGAATGTGGTGCAATGGCTAGTGCAATGGAGAGGGTTAGAAGAAGAAGATGCATCCTGGGAGGATCGCGATTTCATTGTGAAACAGTTCCCGTCTTTTAAAGCTTGAGGACAAGCTTTGTTGAAGGGGAGAGCAATTGTCACGCTTCAGGGAATTATAATTTTGTTTTTTAAATTATAGATGAATTAGGTTTTCAAATTGGGGGAAATTGTATCAGTACGTCGTCGTTCCACTGCGTGACTGACTCAATTAAGGGTTTTACGAACCTTCCTTCCCCTTTCCTATTTTACCGTTATCTATTAGCAGCTGTAGTAATTTCCATGAAGTTTCGAGTAGAAATTGTTGCATTGCTGGCAGCTGGTGACTCATCCATAAAATAGGCTCCTGCATTGTACGATGGGAATGAGGAAATGAATTTTGGAAATCTTCCTGTTTCTCTCTCTCTCTCTGCCTAATTTTCTTTTTCACTCTTTTCTTCTCCTGCTACTTTAATCCTCTGAAATATGCACTCTGTTTCTGGATCTAATCCCTCCATTCCGTTACATAATACTCCATCCGTCTGTCATGATCATGAGGGTTTAATTTGTATTACTTAATAATAGTAGGGTCATGTTGTAATTAGGAGATAAGAGTAATCCCTTTTACCCTATTAAAGCAGAAAACAGGATGATGATGTAGCAATTTCTTATTAAAAGGTTTTGGCTCCAAATGCATCATATTGCATAAACCATTCTGCCACGTGTCACCTCCTTTTAAAAACAAAAAATATATTTACAATATTAACGAAGAGATCAGATGGCCATGTTCATTCAAATTTTGAATTTGACAGTGAATGGAACTTTCCTTCTCCCTTATTTAGGACTTTCTAAAAAATTAATTTTCGATCAATCAATGATTTTCATCAAAAACTAAATTCATTCCTAATCAGTTTTGATTATTTACATATTAATTTATTAGGTAGGAGGACGCCCCGGACGCCCGAGACAAGCATCTAGTTGCTATTAATACTCTGTAATAGCCAAATCAGAAATTATCGATGTGAATGAGAATTCTTTCCCGACTTTGTTCATTAATCACCATTTCTCTAACCCTCTGTTAAATTCCTTCTTCTTATTCTTCCCTCTGCTTCCTCTCCGGCTTTGAACTCTGATTCCGGTAAGTCGTTCTCTTCATTCCGGCGAGTCCCAAATCTTTCTTTTATTTCCAATTCTGGTCGATATCTAACACTGTCCAACAAAAATAGTCCATTTTTAAAATGTACAACTTTTTTATTATAGTCAACTCAATCAATGTACGACTCATTTTGGTCTTGAACTTTTCGTTTCTACCCCTGTTATGTCCCAAGTCCCAACCGGCCCAAATTTGAAACCCATAAACCTGTCTATTTTTTTCTTCCCACAAAGGCAATAAACATTACAAGTCTGTCGGATTTCTTCATCAACACCTTCCTTTGGTCCTTCGTTACCGCCGTTGAGTCCGTCGCTATCCTCTCCATGCTCTGTTTCTTCTTTCTCTTCTGTGGCTGCACAATTTAAATTTTGAACTCTATTGTAACAAAGGCCTTTTTCCAATTTAGTATTAGATCTAGAATTTTTCCTTCTCGAATGGAAAAGGGCGGAGGTTTCAGTCGATTAGATCTTGAAACCAATGAGGGAAAGAGGTGGCGGCGGTAGCGGGGAAGATTGGGAGAAATGGTGAAATTGGTGGCTATTTGGTTGTTGAGGCGGAGCCGATTTGGTGAAATATTGACTCGATGTAATAATCTTTTAGTATTAGGGATGTTACGGTTATTTTGATTGTTTTTTATTTGACTTTTTAAAACTGGATTATTTTTATGAGACAAGATTATTTATCAAATTGGATCATTTTTTGGGACGAAGGGAGTATTCTATATCGTTCCTTCCTGCCTTCCTGGGGATAAATAATTCTCATGTCGAAAAGAGAAAAAATCGAAGCTGCAAAAATGGAGCCAACGATATGGAGCAAGATTCCGGAAGAACTCTTGATCGAAATCCTGATTAGGGTTCCGATCAAATTTCTGGTGAGGCTCACCCAACTTTCCAAATCCTGGTACGCTCTCATCACCAGCCACGGTTTCATCTTCACTCACGTTTCCAAACTTCAAGCTGACGGCTCCGATCGATCCAGCCGGTGGCTCCTCCGGTTCGGTGCTAAATGTGTTGGAACTTACCTCTTGTGCTCAGACGATTACTTCGACCTTAAAAGTTCAGATATGTTGCATCCTTACCCAACCTTTGATGGGTATTACAGTGCTGATGCCGAGGACGATTTCCCTGCGAAAATTGAGGTTCCGCTCACGCGCCCTCATCACGATTACCGCATTGTTGGCAGCTGTAATGGGTTGCACTGTTTTAGTAATAATCAGTTCGGGGAGAGTGCTAAACCCATTGTCGTTTGGAACCCTTCAATTGAAAAGTCTGTGGAGTTACCGTTGCCCAGTATTCATCCCGATTCAGACCGATCCTTGGTTGGTTTTGGGTGTGATTTGCTGGGATTGGATTATAAAGTGGTCAGAATTGTGATCCCAGAAGAGGGCAATGTGGCTCCTGCGCAAACAGAGGTGTATTCCCTCGTTTCCAAAGGTTGGAAGGTTGTGGCCTCTGTTCCTAATTGTCAAGTGATTAAGACTTACTCACCGGTGCTCGTGAATGGGGTTTTGCATTGGCTTACTCATGAGGAAGACCGTGGGAGTATGTTTTTGGGGTTCAATTTGAAGTATGAAACTTTTAGTGAGATATCTCTACCAGAAGATTTAGCTGGCCAACCTACTGAATCTCTGCGGCCTTTCGTTAAAGGGGATCGACTTGCTGTGATGAAGTACGATAAAGTTCAGGAGTTTGGTAGCATTTGGGTGATGAAAGAATATGGAAATGTGTATTCTTGGGAAATGTTGCATGAATTTGGGATGGCAGAGGGGATTGATGGAGTGATTGGGTTTGCAAAGAATGGTCATTGCCTGGCGACAATGGGTAATGGGCTGGCTTCATTTGATCCTCAGAATAGTAGAAAAGTTAAGATTTACAGGATTGGCGGCACCGAAAACTCACTCCAAGCAGTACATTTCGTGGAAAGCCTAGTCTTACTTGAAGGACGATGCAGATTTTAATTAGTTTGTCTCTTTTGTCATTTTGTAATCGGGTTGCTACGCTTTAATAATCTTTTCCTCAGGGCTCTGGTTCTTAGTTTAATCCATGCAACTTGAAATTCTCCTTCTGACCACACGTGCAATGGTCAAAATGGAAATCTGGTGACAATTTTGTCTATATATATATATATAATTTGATTTGCTTATCTGGTGTGATTTTTCCTCACCTTCAATTATCAAAATTCTGATTAACTATTCCTCTAATTTATTTGCGCCGGTTCATTTTTTCCATCAAGCAACTAGGGAGTTGTTTATTGTTTGTTAAAGCAAAAGCATGCCTGTGAAGCTGGACTAGCCTAGTCTGCATCCACATGAGTCATAGCTTGCAATCCAGAAATTAAAAACAAGTTTAGGAGCAGTACGAAGACAAAGACCACTAGGATGCACATGCGCACTGTGATTAATTTGGTGGTCTGTTGGTTTCTGGTCTTCTTGTTATGTTGAATGTGTTTGTCTTATTGTTTAAGTACTATTTTATATATTTTGTTTACATTTTTTGCGGTTATAGCAAGCATTTAGCAGGACTTTAGCTATCATCAAGCGTTTCAGATTCACATGGCTCTCACCTTGCTTGTTACCCATCATACAAGCATTTCAAATGTAAAACCATTTATGCATCTGTTCAGTACTTGCATGATTTGGAAGTTATTACTCTCTTATCCTGTGGAATTTTGTCCGGTTGTTGATAGCGTCTCCTGTCAACTTCTGAATGTTTGTAATTTCTTAAAGATGTTGAAGCATTATAGTACTACTATGGACTCTCTACCTTTAAGCTTCAAGTACGCTTTTCTTGTTCTGGATTTAGATCAGCGTGAACCTGTTAGCCCCTTGGATAAGTAGCAACAGAGTTTCAACACACCAAGGTTATAAATATTTGGCTCTGATGTGGTGTAGGTTGGATATGTTACGTGCTCTGTAACTGCTTCAGGTTAATTTTGTGTTATGCTTTTTTTTTTTTATGGTTTTCTTTCATGGTTAGATGTTGGCAATGGTATATCAGATTTTCTTGTTTTGAGGGCCTAAAATAAACCCTGAAATTTGCATTCCTACAGTTCCTTCACACTGATTGATCATTGATGTGATGAGAAGTAGTGTAAATGGTAAAAAGTGACGCCACATTTGCCAATGAGAACAAAGGTTTCATTAGTGTTGTTCCTGACTTTTTTGGGGATAACTTAGAAACTTGAGTTAGTGGGTTGTGCCCTCTGTAGTTCCGCTCTCAGATTGCCTGCTCTTAATGTGTGCGTCTGGTTCAGTGAACAGCCTTTTCTGTTTGGTTGATCGTATGTTTGAAATGTTAAATGGAATGGATGTCGAAGTACATAGCGAATAATTTCAACGAAACTAATTCCCAAGTGGACCATTAGGAACAAAATATCATGTTAAATTTCAAGTAGCTGTTCTGTTTTATAATCTCTGTAACATCACATTTCTCTGTCCTTTTATCTCAGTTTCTCTATTAGTCCTGTCTCTATTCTTCAACATCCAGTTTAGGCCTTAAAGCTATACTTGTAACTTAGTAGGGCCCCTTTTAAATGTGACTTGTTGAGTAGACGCATGTTGTTATGTTTACTGGATTGTGGGTTCTGTGTTTAACGGAACACTAACGCAGCAAGAGGAGCTGGATTGAATTATTAGCCACTTCTTCACTTGAATCAGGTGAAGGTGACCAACGCGGCTAGATTTTGGATTGAATTATTAGCCCTTTATTTATTTCCATATCCAGCTGATCAACACACACCCCAACTTTTATGAATAAGTCACACAACCCACTTCACACTTACATCAGATGGAGACAGACGTCATCCTCTACCTTATAAGGAAGTGTTGTTCAACAGCTTGGAAACGGAGTTCAGATGTAAAGTTTCTGTTTCCGAGGATGGTGGAGTATGGAAGAGTTGGAATGGACGGGCAAATTAGGGGATTCAGAACAGAGTAGTGTAGAAGCAACAACACACAAGCGTGTTCGATTAAATCTAATTAAAAGAAGACAAAGCTTTTGAAGCTCCTGGAAGTTTGAACAGTTCTAATGGATGCCTTCACAATAAAAAAGAAAGCCTTTTACAAATTATTATACGATCAACTTGACCAGGTACTGACTGATTCAACAATTGAATTTTATTAATTATTAATTATTACAAGTTACAGCATGCTAATTGCTTCCTTGTCAGGAACGTGCCAGCATTGACTGGCTGCTCAGTTGACTTTATTTAAAGTCAACATTTATGTGCAATGTTATGTCTTTCGATGAACGTGCCACCAATGACTTATACCAATTCGTCGCACATTATTTTTATGGGAGGAAGACAAAGAATCACGTCTTGCGGTTCCATTTCAGGTGTTGGCGAGCTAAAAGTCAAGGCTCACTGCTGTGTTCTTTTACATCATCAATCATAATCACCACCCTAGCTTCAGCTTCTCTTTCTTTTCTCTGTTTTGCTTTTCCATTCTTCAAAACTTTTTTTTTGGCTTCTTTCGATTCATTCATTCTGAAAGTTCTCTCAAGACCAAGATGGCCTCAACACCTACTACTCGTTTCCTCTGCTCCCTATTTTGTTGTTTTCCCACGCCGCGATCTTCTTCTTTTGATCCCTTGCCTTCATGTAGCCTTTCAGATACATCTCCTGAAGATCCCCAGAATAGCAACGATCCCCAAGATAACAACCTCGTCTCACCCCTTACCCCCTCCCTTATTACTAGCGAACATTGCCCTGAAGATTCCCAGAATAACAACAATTCTTCTGATAACTACAAGAGAGCTGGACTTCTTGTTGCTTTCTTATGTTCTGCCATAGGTGATTTAGATTGGTTGATGGAGCAATATCCTTTTGATGATTTTGATTCTGAACCTCTTCAGACGCTGAGATATAGGCTGAGGACTCTTAAAAGTTTTATTCTTTCTACCGAAACGTTTGATGATGATGGAAGTCTGGGATCTTTATTGATGAAAATTGACAGTAATACTCGTGGAGTAGCAGCGAGTATTCGCCGTATTTGTTTTCATCGGAATGGTACTCCGTACTCAGCGACATGGCCGTTTACTATGTCCTGGCGAATTGCTGACTTACTGGATATGATTCACCCTTCGTTCAGAGATATAGATGAATGGTACCTCACTATGTTCCATGAGGACAAGCTGCGCTTGGGTTCTTTTCCAGATCTAGTCGTGGAAACCATCAGTACCTTCTTGGACAGTCTGACGGATTTTCACGCTCTCTGGCATTGTCAGTCTGACTTCTACAAGGGAATCGAAGCCATGGGAGAGAAGATGACATTTTTAAGAGGTCTAATCTATTTTGCCATACACAGAAAGCAACCAATAAAAGATTTGGTGTTGCACGCTGAAGCTGTTGTTACCCGTGCTGTATATCTACTTTTTAATTGTAGAAATGGCTGTATGGTTGTTATAGAGCCAATGGGAATGACGTTAGAGATTTCAACATTTGTCCAAAAGGTGAAGCTCATTGAGGATGTCCATCAGATTTATGCTCAAACCCTACTTTGCTCCAAGTTTCCGGACCCATCACTTCCTCCCACTCATTACGAATACATGGATGTTGGTTACTTATCAGTTGCAATGGTGGACATCCTTGATTATATCATATCTACGCTTTGGAAGCAGCTAGCACTGGATACTTGTTGTGCGGCTCCTTTGAAGGATCAACTGAGAGAGCTATTTGAAGGGCTTAGATCCTTAAGGAAAATTCTCAAGCAGCACCTAGCCATATTTGATGATATGGAAAACAAGGAAGATGTTGTAGCATTGGTATGTGATGCCGGAGTCATGATTTTCTCATTCCATCAGAAACATGTAGAACAAAGCCATGAGCTTCAAGATTTGTTACAAAAAATCAAGATGATTCTGTTAGAATATGGAGAGGAAGTTCTACAAGTGCCATTATTGGATCTTCCGAAGACTAATCAGTTGGGTTTTGTCGATTTCATATTAGAAAAGCTGTCTGAGTTTACAAGTTATGAAGTTGAACCAATTGGCAAGACTTGTATTCAAACTATCCAAGAAGAACTTGTCTCCTTGAGATTCTTTTTGGGGGAAATTGAGGAGTTGCGCCATACACAGCCAGAAGTCCAAGCTCTCTGGGACCGCATTTTAGAGGTGGCATGCAAGGTGGAGGACTTCATTGACCATCTAATGGTTGGTGATCTTTCATATTCCCCCTCAACATCATCATTTGCTTTTATCGTCAAAGCTATTGAAGACATTAAGGCAGATGTGCTGAACGCTTACCCTAGCAAGGGGGGACGAGAAATGGAAGTCAAGGAAGCAGCCATGACTTGTTATCAGAAGTCATCACAAAGAACTACCTCAATAGCACATGAAGTTGTAGGTTTTGTCAAAGAAAGATGCTCAATTATGGATCGGCTCACTAGAGGGTCACAGCAACTGCGCATCATTACCATTGTGGGTATGCCAGGAGTAGGTAAGACCACTTTGGCGAGAAGCATTTTCAATGATCCTTCTATTGTGGACCATTTTCCAGTTCGTGCATGGTCTCCTGTCTCCCAAGAAGTGGAAAAAAGGAAAATCTTACTTGAGCTATTGATTCAGATTGATCCTGACGACAGCAGTTATCTGAAGATGACTGAAGATGATTTAGCGGAAGTGTTGTGGCGGCATTTGAAACGAAGGCGTTATCTCATCTTTTTAGATGACGTATGGGACATCAAGGCATGGGACAACCTGTATCGATCATTCCCTGACGACTGCTATGGAAGTAGAATTATTTTGACTAGTCGTCATTTTGATGTTGCGCCTCCTTCTATGCTTGATCAGGAACCTCTTATTGTCAGCCCACTTGATAAAGAAGACAGTTGGAAGTTATTGCAGAGCAGGTTATTCCCCCCAAATGGTTGGACTCCTGCCTTACATGATCTTGGAACTCAAATTGCTGAAAAATGTAAGGGACTGCCTCTGACAATTGTAATTGTTGCTGGAATTCTTGCAACTATGGAGCCAGAGGGTTGGAACCAAGTGATGGATGCTTTAAGCACAGGCATCGTATCAATTACAGAGCACTGTCAGAACACATTGGAGCTAAGTTTCAGACATTTACCTAACTATTTAAAACCATGCCTTCTATACTTTGGTGCATTTCAAGAAGATGAAGAGGTTTCTGTCCGGAGGTTGCTTTGCTTGTGGATAGCTGAAGGCTTTGCTCAGAAAGCTGAGACGAAGAGGGTACAAGATGTTGCTGAAGACTACTTAAATGCTTTAATTGGCAGAAGCTTAGTTACAGTTTCCAAAAAGAGATGGGATGGTGGAGTCAAAGCGTGCCGGATTCATGACTTGATTCATGAGTTTTGCTTACAGAAGGCCAAAGATGAACAGTTTCTTCATATCTTGAAGGGGCAAGATCAACTTTTAGCATTTAATGAGCCGCGGATCAGGAGGATATCCATTTTCGGCGAGGCAAAGCATGTCAAAGAGGCAAAGTTGTTTTGTCCCCGGACACGTTCTTTACTTATCAACATCAAGGACAAAAATGATGAGTACACAACACCACAGATAAGTTTGTCAATTTTTGTTCATATCTTTAAAGTTCTAAGAATTTTGGATTTACAGGGAATTAGTGTCGGTTCTCAGTTTCCAAGGGAATTAGAACTTCTTGTTCAGTTGGCCTTCCTAAGGGTCTATGGCGAGATGACATACGTCCCGACATGGATAGATAAGCTATCAACTTTGGAAACTTTAAGTGTGGGTATATATGGAAAAATACTTTCATTGCCAAGTAATCTCTGGAATCTACGGAAATTAAAGTTTCTAGGCGCAAAGATATGTTGTGCTCGCATCCCTTTGGAAAGTTTAGAAAGCTCACCTGTTTTATATGAGCTGGATAGGTTTTCTTGTGCGGGCATTCCTCTGGAGGCAAGCATTGAAAAGTTGATGAGGAAATTTCCAGGTATCCGCAGGTTTAAATACACAGTTCTAGAAGAAGAGGATGATAAAAAAGATCGTTACGAGATTGTGGTTCCTGAGTTTCTAAATCAGCTACAATCACTTCATGTTTCAAGCGATCGTCTGTCATCATATCTCCGCGTACATGAGATTTGTTTGCCCACCCATCTGAAAAAATTGGCACTGACCCAGTTTTATTTGTCCTCGAAGAGTATTTCAATGATTGGTAAACTGCCGAATCTTGAAGTCCTCAAACTGAATTACATTGAGTTCGAAGGGAACGCATGGGAAATGGAAGAAGGGGAATTTTTGAACCTTAAAATGTTGAAGTTGTGTGGCTCGAAGCTTGTTGAGTGGAGAGGTTATGATGATCAATTCGCCCAGTTGCAGGTGTTGTTGTTGGAAGCGTGTAAAGAATTGAAAGAGATGCCGTCTTGTCTGGAGTCCATTTCAACACTTGAAACGATTGAGGTCACTGATTGTCCGAAAACGGTAGAAAGTTTGGTGAGAGACATTGAGGAAGAACAGGAAAAAATTCGAGGAGATTCAAGTCTAAGGGTCATTATTCGAAGCAGAAATCTAGTTACTATTGTACATCATTAGTATTACTGTTTTCTCCTCTATTTGTAATTATCTGAGAGTAATTTTTTATTTTTTTTTGGTTCCCGTTTTTTCCCCTTCTGCGCAATACTGAGTGTATTTTACAGAAAATGGGATATGTCATATGTTGAGATTAATCCCAAAGCTATCATGTGACTTGGTGGATGGACTTCGTTTCTAGTTTCTGGCACTTATTGTTATGTTTGTATTCTTCTTGTTCTTCACAGAGACACATCTTTTGTTCAACAGGCACACGGGATACTCGTAAAATGGACAAGGGAAACTGGAAGTTGCAGTTCCTTATGAGTTGTGACTATAGCAGCAGCAGCTGCTGAACATTAATGCATTTGAGATACCGAAAACAATCATTCCTGACTAGCTCTTAAAAAGAGATGGTATACTTAAATAAAGAATTTTGGCGCAAATGAATCAAACATGCGCTATCATTTGTTTATCAATCTTTTTAGCTGCACTGATGAACTCCAAATATCATTTATCCAATGTGTGATGTTACTAATCTCTCGATTTTGTTAGTTTGGCATATATCTTTGACGTCCAGTTTATTCCTGCTCAAATTATGATGCAAGTTTCTGGTGGAGCGACGGTAATTAAGAGGCCTTTTCTGAGAACAAGGATCAAATGAACGAGAGAGATGGCAGCTCTTAAGAAGCAATTCACGAGTTTTCAATTCGATTGAACGCCCATTGGTCCAAATAAGTTGAAGAGGGTAAGTTAATAATAATAATAATAATAATAATAATAATAATAATAATGATGATGATGATGATGATGAAAAGGAAAAGACTGCATTTCCTGCCAAAGGAAAGTGAAAATCTCATCATACCAACCTTTCTTGAACAAGAACGAAATGGAAAGATAAGGGTAAGCGCTTTTGACAGGCAGCAAGAAAGCCGCGGAGCCAATACTTGGTAGATAGTTTCGACAATATCAATTCCCAAGTGAACCTAATTGGGATTAAAATTTCAAGAAGTAATTCTCTGTTAATAATCCGTTACAACTTCTATTAGCCACTCTTTGTCTCTGTTCTTCAAAATCAAGTTTAGACTTTAACGCTATACCTGTAAGTGGTAACTTCCAAGCCCTTTTTCATGTGTGACTTAAGGAGTTGGGGAATGTCATTATTGTTTACGGTATCATGGGTTCTTACGTTTAACAACAGAAAAATGGTGCAGCATGAGGAGTTGGATTGAATTTATTAGTCATTTCTTGGTCTGAATACTCAGGTCAATACACACCATAGAGGTTCTGATAAATGATGATTAATTCATAATCCATTTGAAACTTCTATATAGTATCAATTATCACGATGGAGGAAGACTTGATTCATCTTCCTCACCTTTCTATGAACCTGTTGGACCGATTTTAACAAATCTGGTCCACATGAATTGGGCCGATCGCAGCAATGAAGGGAGCGAAAGAATTATCAAGCCCGCAGTAATGCTGGAGAAGGTGCGGCGGTTGACAAGTTGAACCAGAGAAGGAGTCGTCGACAACGAATCCTTGTCGGAGAAGCATTCCAAACCCAACACAAGTCCTTATCATATTCGACTTCTGTTGCATTTCGACTAGGGTTGGTGAGCCATTTATAAAAGCTGTAAAGAGAGAAGACGAGGGGACACACAATTCATCATACGGAAAATCATATTCTTAGTTCTTTATAGCCTTTTATCATTTATTTCAACTTTCATGTATTTCTTTACTTTTCAGTGTTAATTCTTGTAAGCTTTTGACGTTTCTGGCTATTCAGAGCCGATTCGTTTTCATCAAATCAACAAAAATGGCCTTTGTTGGCCATTTTATTCATCTTTTCGGATTTCCCCATTATTTCCTTGTCAAACACATAAGTTTTTAGGCTGATTGCGAGTCGAAAGTATCGGTATCTTTGAATAACTTTAATGATTGGACTCTGGATTTCGAGAATATCATGCAGTCATTTGAAATTAGTTTGAGCCGAGTCGGTCTTCACTTTCAAATACAATTTTGACTCAAACATAAAATTTTGCACGCCCAGTGGGACTTATGTGCGTATTCCATGCGTTGTTTGAACAAAAGAACGATGTCGATGCCTCAAACATCAACAGCAATTCCATCGGCGGGACAAGTATCAACGCCGATCCAGACTTCTACGCCAAGTGGGAGTGTTTTACCAATGAGTACATTTCCTCATATTTCGGTGATACACTCATTCTCAACGGTGATAACAGATCAATCATTCGGTATAGGACGACAGTCTAACCAGCAACAGTCTACCGCCGGATCCAGCATTTTTGGTGAGAGATCTAGTTTTCTCGAGTTCTATAAAAGTCCGGGTTTTCAGACTCTAGGGTTTCAGAGCCCACAATTCCAGACTCCGGTGTTTCATAATCAGGGCCAAACAGATCAGACTCCGCTGATGACACCAGAGACGACGCAGCAAAGGTTTATGGCGTTAGAACATCATGTGGCTATACAGGTAGCACAATTTGAGCAAGCTTTACAAATGATAAAGCAACGTGTGAATTCAGGAAGTGCTAGTGCTAGCGAATCAACAATGGTGGGTAACAACACACCTACAAGAACAACTCAAGGAGGAGTATCTCCAGTTAATATGGTAAACAATCCTTCATATAATGCTATATTTCAACCGTTTGTAGCAGATACTTTGGTGCAACATGCAAGTTCAGGGCCAAGTAACAATGGATCCCAAATAGCAGCGAGAATGTCAGGACACAGGTTACAAAGTTGGTATTACCCAGTAATTCCAAGTCAACCGGCTTTTATTTTGCCACAGGGCAATTTCATGTTTGACGGGCGTCAATTACCTCCGTTATCTGCTCCATATAATGGGCAAGCAATGGTACTTGGAACCCCATTTGGGCATATACCTCATCAGAATTATCAGGTGGCATGGCCAATAAGTCCAGAAGCACGGCATTTGGGAACTGCAATAGGGAATGACACTACAGGGCATGCACGATCACTAGATCAATCCTAGTTTCAGAACACAGTAATTCAACATCAACCATTGCCAGTTCAAAATCAGCAAGGACCAACAATGGTTCCAGTACAGGTGATTGGGCAAGAAACTGTGCCTAGAATAACTGTTGGACAGCAAAAAATATTGGGATCTTCCCGTCAGGGTCCTGCAGGTGCAGGAATTAATCAAGGTCCTACAATTGAAACTCCAGAACGGACTGGTCAGAATGTACAAGGAAGCAACGACCGCCGTTTTATAATGTATCAGAATCGTGCTGTGCCACCGGCATTAGGAAATAATAGTGCAACTGCAAACTTGGCTGATCCACATGTACCTCAAGGATCCAGCGTAGTAGTTGCCAATCCACAGATTGTTCCGACGCACCCAACAGTGGAAGAAAATAGAGAGGAATAGCAGTGGATGGAATATGAGGTAAATCAGATATTGAACAGAAATAGAGCACAAGCTACTGGTCGGGCTTATGGAAATCAGAATGTTGGAAATCGACATAACCCCCAGCAACAACGGTTTTGGGGTCAAAGAGGTAGTCGTCACCGAGTGAATCTTGGTAATGAATTTCGACAAGAACCAGATGTGATAGCAAATGTAAATCAGCAACAGGATTTTGAAGTTGGGGTTGAACAGACTTTAAATGCTGAGAAAAAATTTTCAAAGATGGTAGAAGATATGGTTCGTAAAGAGTTGGGTACAGAGATTCCAGAGGTTCCAGGGAAACCATATCCTGATTTTGTTGAATGGGAACCGTTGCCTAGAAATTTTTAAGATCCCTAATTTCCAACAGTTTTCAGGAGAAGATGAGAAGCGACCTGAGGATCACATCAGCTTGTTTGAATTACAATGTGGTTCAGTGAGCAACAATGCTTTAATCAAGTTGCGTTTGTTTCCTTATTCCTTAAAGGGAACTGCGTTTGATTCGTATAGATCACTAGCACCATGGTCCATTCCGTCATGGGACATTGAACAACGAGAATTCCTATCATACTTTCGCAGGGATACTGCACGATTGTCAATTGTTGACTTGTCAGAGATCCGGCAAAAGTTTGGAGAAACTGCAGAAGCATACTTAATTCGGTTCAGCTAGATGTATGCTAAAATACCTGACAAGTATGAAGAACCAACTATCGTTAAGATGGTGGTAGTAGGAATTCAAGATTATAAGATAAAATTAGCTGTTGCACCACATTCCGTCCGATCTTTGAATCACTTGGCAGATATTGTAAGATGGTGTAGAAGGTAATCAGAGATAAACAAGAAGAGAATCTAGGAAAGGCAAAGCAATGGTTTAATAAGAATCCAGTGGCAGAAGTAAATCAGATTTAATGGGTGCATGATGAAGACGATGATGAGTATGATGTTAACGCTGCTGAAATTGTCAATGTCTGAAATTATACTTGTGATGCATTACGTCGGCTTGTTGTGCCACATTCTTATAACACTCCTCCACCAGTAGGAGCACCGCCAGGAACTCCAGGACAAGCTGATGGAGCTAATATTGGACAGTTTTATTCCTTCGACATTTCACAACAAGAGGCTATTTTTGATGATATGTTTTAGAAAGGCCATATTCAGTACAAGAAAGGGTATCGACAACCAAAGCCTGTGGATGTAGTGGGAAAGACATATTGCAAATATTTGTCATGGATTCACATTATAAAAGATTGCGTTGTGTTCCGTAACAAGGTTCAGAAGATGATAGATGATGGCAATGTAATAGTGGAAGATCCGGTAGAGATGAATACAAACCCTTTCCCGCAACAACATCAAGTCCAAATGGTTGATTTAGGATTTGGAGGTCACACCCATAAAACATGTTTGATCACAAGTTGTGAAGAGTGCGACAAAGTTTTTAGCCGAGTCAAGCGACAGCTTCATGGGCTAGGATCTAAATTTGGAGGACATTTACATCGACAAGTTATGCGTCCAACTGCAACAAAAGTGAACATTGTGATCAACAGGCAGGCGCAGACTTGGGTACAGAAAGAAACAAATAGAGATCCAGAACAGGAAAAGTTACAGATAGTATCAGATGCCATTTTGAGTGCTTTGAATCAAAGTCCACAACCATATACACAGCATTCAGAAAGACGTCAAGAAATTCCACCGTCTCAAGATCGCCTACTATCAGTATGGTAACAGATTGGAAGGCCTGTGCCACAGAATAATGTTCCGCCAAGAGCAGTTAGAACATCATTCGTGCATGATAGAGAATGGCATCATGCAACTCATCCAAAATTCCCCAACCAGACATTGACCGGCAAGATGACTAGGAATCAAAAACATTGATGGCAAATGGTAATGAATAAGAAAGCCAGGGTTGATTCAGAGGAAGAAAAAGTACTTACAAAGCCTGAATCACCAATTGCGCAAGGAATTCCAATGATAAGATTTTCAGGACATGAGGACAGACGATCGCAATTGTGGGGAAAGTCAGATATATACTTCCCGCTAGTAAACATGGTCTATACTCTGCCAAAGTCCTTTTGTTTGAAAACCCCTTCACCTGCAACAGCCTTAGCTCCAAAGATTGTTGAAAACAAGGTTGTAGTTCCAGAAGCAACTTCGTTTGTGACGGAGCCACATGATACTACAATTGGTGGAATTCAGTTGCTTTCACAAGAAGGGAGGAGTTATCATGCTATCTCAACCGGCAGAGAGTGTTGCATCTCATATCAGGCCATTGTACATTTCCGCCGTCATAGATGGAATCTCGTTGAGAAGAGTATTAGTGGACAATGGCGCAGCTATAAATATTCTACCGTCAAGGGCATTAAGTTAATTAGGTTAACAGTTAACTGAAGTTTTTGTGAGTGGATTCATAGGAGATGGCACAAGTACCAAAGGCATTTCACCATTGCAAGTTGAGGTAGGATCTTAGATGGTGGTATCGGCATTCTTTGTGGTTGACACTAAAGCTTCTTACAATGCTCTCCTGGGATGAGATTGGATTCATTCGGCTAGAAGCATTCTTTCTTTTCTACATCAAGCGATTTTTTTTTCGGGAGCAGAGGGTCCAAAAATGATTGCAGCCGATACAAGTCCTTTCGTAGCACAAGCCAATGCGGTGGAAGCTTATTACTATGATAGTGCAGTGGGTCCGTATCTGCTTATAGGTATGGACAAGTATGGTCGGCCAAAGCAGGCAACTATGCGTAGAGACATGAACCTTCCTGAATGAAAATTGCTTTGGCAAAAAGTCAACAGGCCGTACAATTATAATGTGTTCAGGCCATTGCCAGCTGCACCAGCTATTGAAGAAGTTTCCAATGAAGACAATTAAACAGTTAAATGTCTTGAGTGCAGATGATTTGGATGTTGAGTTTTTAAAAGCGAAAGAGAAATAGGAAACAATCCAGTGTATATTACAGTATTTTGAAAATGAACGCCGACAGGAAGCTGACACGCCTACAGTATATTAGGACAAAGTAATCTATGATGTTGATCTGGTTTCTAACAGCGATGTGATAGATCTGAATGAATTGGCCACTACAACACCAAAATTAAGTGATGACGTAGTTTTTACTAAAGAACCAATCGAAGCAGTAAACCTAGGCTCATCAGGCAAGGAAAAGCCTACTTACATTAGTTCTTTCTTGACAGCTGATGAAAAGAAATAATTGATTGCTTTGCTGCAACAACACCGTGGCTGTTTTGCATGGGACTACACGGAATGCTAGGTTTGGATCGTGGTCTAGTCGAGCATAGTATCCATTTGAGGAGGGGTTTTAAGCCATTCAAACAACCACCGCAGCGATTTTTAGAAGATGTTGTTATCAAAGTTAAGGAAGAGATATAGCGCCTATTGGCAGTTGATTTCATTGAAGTCGCGGTATATGTTGAATGGTTATCCAATGTGGTTCCTGTCATTAAGAAAAACGGTAAAACAAGAGTTTGTACAGATTTCTGTAATCTCAATTTGGCGTCACCAGAAGATGAATATTAGATGCCAATTGTGGAAACATTGATCGATAGGGTGACATGTTTTTAGGTCATGAGCTTTGTTGATGGCAACACTGGATATAATCAAATCTTTATAGCCCCTGTGGATGTTCAGAAGACTGCTTTTCGTGCACCAGGAGCTTTAGGAATTTTTCAATGGAAAGTGATGCCATTCGTATTGAAAAATGCAGAAGCAGCCTATCAACAGGTAATGAATATTATTTTCCATGATCTTATTGGGAAGGTTCTAGAGGTTTATATAGATGATGTGGCCATGAAGTCACATTCCTTTTCAGAACATCTGCAACACTTGCATCAATGCTTTGAGCATATGCAAAAATATCAGTTAAAGTTAAACCATTAAAATGAGCCTTTGTAGTGTCGTCGAGAATATTTTTGGGCTTCTTAGTTCACTCCAGGGGCATTGAAGTGGATGTTAAAAAGGCCAAGGCGATTATTAAAGTTAGACTTCCAAGGACAAAGAAAAAGTTACAAAGTTTGATCGGCAAGGTTAATTTTCTTCGCCGATTCATTGCCAACTTATCTAAGAAGTTGAAGCCATTCTCTCCACTTTTGAAGGTTCAAGCAGCCGAGGATGTTGTGTGGAGGGAAGAGCAACAACAAGAGTTTCAAGATATCAAGTTGGCTTTATCCACTTCCCCAGTTATGGTTGCACCGATTAAGAGCAAGCCATTAAAACTTTACTTATCAGCAACGGAGGAATCATTAGGTTGTCTACTAGCTCAAGAGGGCCATGATGGATTTGAACAAGCAATTTATTACTTAAGCCGCATGCTTACCGACACGGAACGCAAATATCCTCCAATTGAAAAACTGTGTTTAGCATTGTATTTTGCTGCGACCAAGTTACGACACTATATGCTTCCATCAAGGTCAACCTGGACAAGTATATGTTGCACCAACCAACGATGAGTGGCCAAATAGGAACATGGGTTCTGGCCTTGATGGAGTATGAATTTCAACATGTACCCCAATCGACAGTAAAAGGGCAAGCATTCGCAGATTTCTTAGCTGTACATCCTTCACTTGACGATGATTGGAATGATGCGTTTCTCGAGTCATTTCAAGTGCACCATGTAGAAGAACCACTCTGGACGCTACATTTTGACGGATCCAGAAATTTCGCGCATAGCGGTGCTGGGATAGTAGTGACTTCTCCACACAGACAGAAACTCCGTTACCAGATTCGTTTAAATTTCTGTGCAACCCATAATCAGGCAGAGTATGAAGGTCTAGTCCATGCTTTGAAACCTTAATATGTAATGGTGCAACTCATGCCAAGGTGATTGGAGATTCTGCATTAGTCATTGGGCGTATGAAAAATTTGATGGATCGCAGCTGTTGGTGATGTCCTTGCTTCTCACTTCCAACATATTGAGTTTTACAATGTTGAATAGAATTCAATATTGATGCCAATGACATGGCACAGTTAGCTT